CCAATTCATTTTTCATTGGTAGGTTCACCCGCTCTTATCTATGGAATTTTAGGGTAATATGGGGCGACGACATTGAAGTTTGCTTCAGATAGCCTCTACTACCTATTGTTTACATGAACCAGGAACTCAATGTCTGTAAACGATTTCAAGTGAGAGTCGTCTACGTGGCTCATTCCACATCACCGGTTCGGCTAAACTTGGCCGTTTTGGCATCCCTGTACATTTTAGAACAAAATAAACCGACTAATTATGAATAATAAATATCTTGTCAAGCTAACGCATCAGAGTAAAAAAAAAGAATTACCATCTTTGGTATCTTTTCGTTTCAGTGGAGTAAACATGGATCCGAATGAAGTACATGAGATCAATAATGCCAAATATCCTAAAGCCACGAATCCGGCTGAATGTTCCTCTGTCAGAGTGGAGTTTGAATTAGAGCCAAGCATCCTGAAACTTCTACATACATCGTTTACTTCTAAGAAATTCTACCAACACAGCTAACAATCCACAAAAAGTCGGAGAATGACTGGATGACTGAGAACGAAGGCAGTTGAGGATTTCGAAGAAACATAAAGCATGTTAGGCCATGGAATTTTTTCAAAAGTAGAAAAGCACAGAGCGGTGAATGCCACTGTTTACCATATCTTCGGCGGTAATAGAACGGTGATCATCGCGTCAGGACCCCTTATCCTTAAACCCTTGGGTTGGCATTTCATGTGATCTCAGCCACCGCGGCCCGTTTTCGTCCGACGATGCAACAAGGGTGGCGCCCAGCGCAGTATAAACGAAGTGTCGTAACCGCTTGATACGAAAAACTTTGTCAAATGTTTGGGATAAACTTGTAGTAGGTCGATCAAATACCATACCAACTGTTTGGTTGGTTCTGCAGCCGTTTTGGAATTACGAAACACTGCTTTGTATAACTCACAGTACTGTATAGCTTAAATATGGATCAGTGAGTAAAACGATGACTTCATTACCCTAGGAGCGTAATTCGTATAAAAGGAGGCCGTGCTATCAGGTTAGGGCGGGTATGGGTACATACGTGCGTCCGAGAAAGCGCGCGGCAGCTCTAGCGCCTATTATTGGAGTATTGGGTTAAAGTAGAGTAGTTTAGTAGGGTCAGCCAATTATACTGATCTACACTACTCCAAATTTGGGCCCCAATCAAGGCTTTAGAGTCGTTCAAAAGGTACGAACTGCGCCGCACAATTTGCTGCGCGCATCCTCGTACGCACGTAAGTTCCGTCCCCCGGTTTGGGCTGACAGAACCGGAATAAGCAGGGCCGCATTCTGTACTCCCCGACTTTGCTTCCTGTTACCCGACTGCTTTTTGGTAATCTTCCTTTCCTCTGCATTAGATTAATGGGGAATAGCGCTTAGGATGGTAGAAAACCTACGATGTTGATATGTGCGGTCACCAACCACCGTAAGTCATTCCCTAGGCCTCAAACGCCACTACAATCCGGGATGAGAACCGTACTTGGCGCGTTTGTCCATTTATCATTGAAGTTACAAAACTTCTCATTTCACTGGCTCGCATACTGCTACCCCCTACCTCTCTGTTCTACCACTAACTGATGGCCTCAATAGAAGCGATTTATTGCTAAACCTGGAGGATACGCCAAAACGGCTTAATCAGGTAATCCTTTCCGAGTAGTTTCCTATCAGTCTACGTGTATGAACTCAGGTATATGTCCCTCGAATTAAGAAGGCAGGAACGAAGAATTTGACGGCTCGGAGTCCGAAGTTCAGAAGGTTCTACCGACAGTACGCTGTACACGAGGGAGGGAGATGAAGGGAGCAACGAGTCAGTACAAAGGAGAAATCGAAATGAGCCGCGATGAACTGGTTCACGCTTCTATTATATGGAGGTTATGAGAGAAGCGAATCAGTGGCTTGTCACGCAGTGAATATTAAATCGTTGCCAACTGAATGAAAAAACGGCATCGCCGAGTAATAGCAACGGATTAATGACCTGATATGCGGTCGCCAGTCAGAGTTTCCATTTTACTGATGCACTTTTAGGTCGTTGTGATTGCAGTAGCCTTTAATGATAGCATACATGTCATTAGTGCCATTTATGGAGCCAGACTATGTACTTCGACTGATTGCCCTATACAAAGGTAGCTTACAATTGTCAACCAAGTAAGATACCGTATTCCCAGCCTTTCAAATTAGCCTGAGGGTGAATCTCTGGTGAATGATTGCCTATAAATTCAGCTTAT